AACTCCACAGTGTTTGCTTATTTTTTATTCATTATTCCGATACAACATTTTGGTGCCGAAACCGTGGAATTTATCAGATCAAATCATATTTTTCTAAAGCAAAAATATTGATTCACCATGTCCAATTCTGAAGGTGAACAAAATACCGTTGCTGCTTTGTTTGAGCTGCAAGCCGATTTGCTAGCGAAAATGGACCGCAATATCACAAATTTTCAGAACGAACCGCCGCACAGTAAAGCTAAAATCGACCGTTTAAATACTCGTTTGCAAACATACCATCGTGATTATGACGATTTTGTGAAAAATCATCAGAAATTAGTGAAAAATGCCAAGCCAAACGATAAAAAACATGATTATTTCAAGAGTTTTCATATTGACTTTTTTGAATCGAAATTTCTTGATGCGGTCTCAGCAGTACGTGAACATATTGGCAAAATAACGGCAACTCAGTCGGTGTCTGTTTCAGAAGAAAGTGCACAAAATCATTCGATGATATTCAATTCGCACAGTGAATCAGAGGTACGTTTGCCACCAATTGAATTGCCTACGTTTTCAGGGGAATTTACCGAATGGCCGTCGTTTGCGGATCGTTTTGGATCGGCAGTTCATAAACGTAACATCTCCGATGCTAATAAACTCGTGTACTTAAAGAGCACATTACGCGGTGATGCTGCTTTGCTTATAAGTGAACTCACTACTACGGATGCAAACTATTTGACCGCATGGAAATTGCTAAAAGAGAATTACGAAAACAAACGCGTTATATTTAATCATGCGATGAACACTTTACTCAACTACGATGCGCAAAGGAAAGAAACAGCATCGTCGTTCAAATCATTAATCGGCAACACTGACGCAACTGTCAAATCGCTTGAGAGCATTGGCATTGACAAGTCTATTGTAAGCAAATTTATCGCATTTCTTGTCTGTAGTAAATTGCCATTAGAAACTATTAGTTTTATTGAACAAAACATTGCATCACATGATTCAATTTTGGAATATGAAGAGCTAAAGAAAATTTTGTTCATCCGTATTCGTTCGCTCGACATTGTGAATCAAACAAAACGAGATACCGTCAGCAACAACAACAGCAATTATGGCAACAACGTTTCCAGCACGAAACAATCAGCGTACACCAAACCGAATGTCAATACAAAGAAAGTAAACACTTATCATTTTTCATCGAAACCGTCTCAATCGAATCCAAATCAACCGAACGGCAATGTGTTTGCCTGCAAATTATGTTCAGATAATCATCCGATCCGAATCTGTTCGAAATTTTTATCATTTCCATCAAACGAACGTGAATCAACAGTTGAACGATTACGACTTTGTAGGAATTGTTTATCACCTACACATTTAGTTGCTGCGTGCAAATCTCCAAAAAATTGTCGAGAATGCGGTTCTCGTCATCACACACTCATTCATCCATATCACCGTCAAGCTATTTCAGCAAGTACCAACAATTCTCATACTAATAACGAAAATCACACGAACAACAATTCCGTCAATTCTACTCATTCAATCGCACAAAATTCAGGTAATCCGATTTATCGTTCCAATCATAATCAGACAATCAATCTTCACTCTTTTCGACAAGTACTTTTAGCAACTACAATTGTAAAAGTAAGGGCATCTACCGGGGATTACGTACCATTACGGGCATTATTTGATCAAGGTGGTGATGGAACGTCAATTTCTGAATCGGCCATTCAATTGTTAAAATTGCCAACACATAACCATCACGTTGAGATTAGACCATTCGGTGGAGGTGCACCATTGTACGCTAATAAAATAGTCGAATTGAATCTTAAATCAATGTACAACGATTCATTCCAAGTCACAGCACCAGCCGTAGTAATGAGTTCTCTCACCGATTGTCTACCGGCAAATTTCGTCAAAGTTGACAACTGGCCTCACATTGAAGGTCTAGAGCTCGCGGATCCGTCATTCTTCAAGTCATCGAAAATTGATTTGGTGCTCGGAGCCGATATTTATTATTGTGCTTTGATGGAGGGTCTAAAAAAGGGTCCCATTGGCACACCAATGGCTCAACAAACGGAGCTCGGATGGATTTTGTCCGGACCGGTAACTATTGAAAAATCTATTCCGAATATCGTTGTGCAAAATCATGTGACGATTGATTTAAACGAGTCCATTCAACGCTTTTTTGAAATGGAATCTCTACCTCAAAGTAATTTAAAATCGAAAGACGATCAATATTGTCAAGAGTTTTTTGATCGTACTACCATCCGTACCGATGATGGCCGCTTACAAATGCGATTACCATTTAAGTTGCCACGCAATTTACCCACAACTACATTAGGCAAATCTAAAGAGATTGCACTACAACAATTTTTACGTTTGGAACGTCGTTTCAAATTCAACGCTAATTTCAAATCCGAATATTCCAAGGGAATGGAAGATTATATCGAACAAAATCATATGCAACTTGCTACAAATACTGAAAAGGATTGCATTCATTTTTCGCCCGAGGGGGAAATGTACTATGAATCGTATTATATTCCGCATCATGCAGTCATCAAGGAGGACAGAGTAACAACGAAATTAAGGAATGTTTTCAATGCATCACAAAAATCATCAAACGGCAATTCTTTAAACGATGTTTTATACCCAGGACCGGTTATGTTAGCCGATTTAGTTGCCATTCTACTCAACTGGCGTTGCCACCGCATAGCATTTTGTGCTGATATTCAACAAATGTATCGTCAAATTCGTATTCATCCGGACGATATTACATATCAACGATTATTTTGGCGAAAGAATTTCGACGAAGAAATTCAAGAATATTGCATGAACCGTTTAACTTTTGTCACAAACTTTGCTCCATCATTCGCAATTATGGGTTTACATTATTTAGCTAAAAACGAAGAGGCTAAATTTCCACAGGGATCGGAAATTATTCGAAACGATACTTACATGGATGATACAATATCTGGTAGTTCAACTACTGAATCGGCACTCAGGGATCAGCATGAAACTATTGAAATACTCAATTCAGCTGGAATGAATTTACGGAAGTGGGCAAGCAATGCGCCTGAACTATTGCAATCCGTTCCAGAAGAACATCGTGTCGATTTCGGAAAAAATGTGTCACTAACAAAACACGAATCGATAAAGACACTGGGCACATTTTGGAACACATCCACAGATACATTTCATTTTCAACTTTCCATCGATTGTTCATCGAAACAATTTACCAAACGAGAAATAATGTCAACTATATGCAGATTATTCGATCCATTGGGAATAATTTCTCCGGTCATTTCACGAGCAAAAATACTTATGAAAGACGTTTGGCGTTCAAACTGTGGATGGGATGAAGCAGTTGACACCGAATTGGAGGCTAAATGGCGTAAGTATATTTTTGAGTTGCAAACTTTGAATGAAATCAGAGCAAATCGTTGGATTTCTTTCTCACCTAATTACATTTCTGTTCAATTACATGGTTTCTGTGATGCTTCGTTCCATGCATACGGTGCTGGTATTTACTTGCGTATTGTTGATGAAAACGAACAAATTTCAACGAGTCTCGTCATGTCAAAATCGAAAGTAGCACCTATGTCACCAGTCACAATTCCAAGATTGGAATTATGTGGAGCCGTAGTACTGGCTGAGCTAATGGAATACACCATCAATACATTGCGTCACATTAAAGTGAAACCAGAAGATATAAAACTATGGACAGATTCACAAACGGCATTACAATGGATTCGTACCGATCCAAATCGATGGCAAATGTTTGTTTCTAATCGTGTCGCCGCCATTCAAAAAGCATCGAATATCAATCAGTGGAATCATGTCCGAACATTCGATAATCCGGCGGATTTGATTTCAAGAGGTGCTTCACCAAACGATTTATGTTCATCAGATTTATGGTGGTAAGTAAATTACATCCATTTTTCGATTCAGAAGGTATTTTACGCGTTGGGGGGAGATTAAAGAATGCCGATCTCAGTTTTAACGAAAAACACCCAATCATTTTACCTCAAAAGCACCATTTTACAAATTTAATTATCGATTCTGCCCATCATCGTACATTGCATGGTGGCACGCAACTGACAATGGCTTACATTCGTAAAACATATTGGATTTTGAGCACACGCAAAACTGTAGGCTCTCGCATTCATCGTTGCGTCAGTTGTCATCGTCATCGAGCCAAATTTACCGATCAACTTATGGCTGACCTACCCACTGCTAGGGTACGTATTTCAAGTCCATTCACTCACGTTGGAGTGGATTTTTGTGGACCATTTCACACACGCACATCGAAAGGCCGAGGCATTAAGACAACAAAGGGATGGGTGGCAGTTTTTGTTTGCTTATGTGTAAAGGCCATTCATCTGGAACTTGTTTGTGACCTGTCTACCGAAGCATTCTTGGCTGCATTACGTCGATTTATTTCAAGATTTGGCTTACCTCAATGCATGTATTCTGACTGTGGCACTAATTTCGTGGGTGCTGCCAGGGACATAAAGAAAAAACAATGCGAATATTATGAATATTACAACGAAAAGGTCATTACATCGTTAGCCGACGAAGGAATTGAGTGGAAGTTCAACCCACCAGCATCACCACATTTTGGTGGTTTATTTGAAGCCGGCGTAAAGTCGACAAAATATCATTTGAAACGTGTGTTAAGTAATACGAGTCTCACTTTTGAATAGTTTTATACAGTGCTGACTCAGATCGAAGCGTGTTTGAATTCGCGGCCACTTGTACCACAATCAGACGATCCAAATGATTTTACTGTCATCACACCTGGTCATTTTTTCAAGGGTAACAGTTTATTTGCGTTGCCTGAACCATCATTAGTCGATGAAAATGTACCAATTGGAAGTCGTTATCGTTACATGCGCAAATTACGAGACGATTTTTGGACTCAATGGAGTTCGGAATATTTGAATCGTCTACAAAATCGACCCAAATGGTGCAAACAATCCGAAAATATCAAGGTCAATGATATGGTCTTGCTCAAAGATGAACGTTTTCCACCAACGAAATGGCCTTTGGCTCGGGTGATTACTGTTCATCCGGGATCTGATGGACTAGTTCGAGTCGTTACAATCAAAACAAAGAGTGGTGAATTCAAGCGTCCAGTAGTAAAATTAAGGTCATTACCAATTTACGATAACATTGAAAATTAAGTTTTACTAATTTTTTTTTCCATTTTTTCATTTTCTAATTGTAACAGAGAGCGTTTGTCTTGCATTCGAACTTCATTTCATCAAGTATTCTAGCCGGAACGTGGCGGCTCTAAACCACCCTCATTAGTGACAGAGGAAATGCTGTCAGAAGTTCGCGTGTAAGGGAAATGTTATCTGATTTAGATGGAAGGTTTTCTATTTTGAATTTATTTATTTTCTTTATGGTGATAAATCACAGACCCCGGAATGTTTAGAATTAAACGTACTTTAGTTTTGGTCGCACTCTATTAGACATTTGACAATAGAGCTGTTTCAGTAAAGCATGTAT